GAGGGGTTGTTGTTGTTCGAAGAAACAGGGAACAACAACAAGGGGGGGGTTGTTGTTGTTCGATGAAACAGGGAACAACAACAAGGGGGAGGGTTTGCCCGTGGGCGCCTATTCCTCCGATGGGGTGGCGGGGGGGGGGGAGGGGGAGAACAACAAAAGGGGGGAGGGGGGGTGTCGTTCGAAGAAAAAGAACAGCGGAGGTTGAATTCGAAGAAATGAGGCGGGGGGGAAGAATAACAAGGCAGGGGGAGGGGTTGTTGTTCTTAGAGGAGGCGGAAGAAGAAGGGGGGGTGGTCGTTGTTCTCTCAAGAGGAGGGGGGAAGAACAAGGGGGGGGGGGTTGTTGTTCTCTAAATTGGAGAACAACAACCCCCCCCACCCCTCTATCGCAGGGGTTTGGCTACAACAGAACTCGCATCCAACATCATCACATACCCTTGGGTAGTCATTCAGTCAGCCCACATCCGGCTCCTCCTTACCGGGCCGCAACAGGACACACATGGAGGGCAACGCTTAGCACATCTCGGGCACCAGAAGGGCTGTCTCTTACACATAAACACAACAGATTATCAAGTCGCTGCTTGAGCTCGACTTCGCGAACTGCCATTCTCTGCGGCGAGCTGCATGTGCATCTGTACTGGAGAAGCATCTACACCTAAGTCACCTAAGGGTCACCACTGTTTGCAGTCACGCTCGTGGCACCAAGGTCTGGGTTCACACTCTCCATGCCCATTTTGACGGTTCAGGGTCTTAGGTCTTAGAGGTTGAAGATTTACGGATTCATGCTTCGGGGTGTAGAGCTGGGTCTTAGGAGTCGGCCGCCGGCCTCGAAGCTTTGAACCTCTTCTCTGAAACTTTGAATCGGGGTACAGCAGCTTCTGGCCATTCCTTCGCTGGTTTTAGGCATCACGGCTTCAGTTTTCTTGGTTCCAGGTGGAAGATGCCCTGAAGACTCCCTCGGACTGGGCCTGCTCATCCTGCGCTGTGACCAGTCGTCCAATGCAGGGACTGAGCATGTCAATGTAGCGATTCGAGGGAGAAGTGCGAGTCGCCGTGGCGTTGCAGTGACGGACACTCGATCGCAGGTTCCGCTCTTCACTCCTCTCTCCAGCCACTGCCTCGAGCACCTCGGCTCCTAAGCCCTGGAAACCCTCGAAGCCTAGGGCCTAAGGCCTTAGCCGCACCCTTGGAGCCGAGAGCCGAGCACGCTGAGGCCAAGGAGCACGCCACCAAGAGCATGCCTTTGTGCTGTGGGGAGGGGGCGGAGGGTTTCGGGGTTTCGGGTATCAGGATGCTTCAGAGGTTTGCAGTTGGGGGTTCACTTGAAGGCTCACGGGTCCCAGCAAAAGAGTTGAAGGTGATGCAAAACCTTGCTGAAACCACCTACAACCATACCTAATCGGCAACAATTCAATAATTATCAATACGTCTCCGAGGTGTCGAGTGCACATGATTGCAAATGCAGGCTTGTTGGATCTACCCTACCAGTTACCAGGTTCAAGATCTGCGGCGACTGGCATTTCTCCTGCGGCGCTTGCACGGAGGGAGACTTCAACAGCCGTCGCCGGCACAAAACATAACAACAATAATAGGTACATGGTGTAGCAACAGCGCCACTTCCAGTATGTACGGACTACCCGGTTACTACCCGTGATCCAGGCCGTCAAGCGCATCATCGCAAAAGAAGAAACCATGAAACCCCACTAGCTATCCCAACTCAAATCGTGACTGCTCCACGCCGGCTCTGAGAAGAGGGCTCTGTGTCGGTGTAAAACATGCCCTGGACCAGATGTTTGCTCGTGCAGCGTAGGGTACGTCAAATCTCCAGAGATCTCCAGAGCTTGACACCACCAGTCTTCAGGCCAAAAGCTGCAAACCTTACGCATGGAACACCAATAACAAAGCATGCGAAGGTTGAAAAATGAGTCTGAAACTTGGGTGGATCTACATGTCACGATTGGGGTACTCCACACAGTCTAGTCTCCAAACTGGCTTGAAGTGCGATTGGGGTATGGCATCTCAAAGAGGCAATGTTGGCAAGCATGTCGTTTTCTCCACTCGCTGAAAGGTTTGCTTTCAAGGCCTATGACATCGAAGTGACACCAGAATCCAATCCGAACACCGTGGGTCTTGAGTGAAGCGGTATTGCGTGCTTGGCTTTGTTGGTCTAGGGACTCACGGAGACTCGTGATTGTCTTAGGGGTTTCAGGCGGTCTACACAGCCTGGGTGCACGTCTAGCTCATTCTTGAGGTAACCCGTAGTCCTCCACCGCAAGCTCCAACTCAACCGCGACAGCAAAGACTATGAGCCTGAAGTACTGTTCCCAATATGCCAGCTGGGGCCCCTGCTAGGCTGGCATCCCGAAGCCACCAGCTCCTTTAGCTCCATCTCGCTGGGGTCAGGCAGGTGTTGAGGACGTTTGCCCGCAACTGAGTTGGCGAATCTGGGGTCTTACAGCCCGCTGAATGGACTCGTGGAGTAGACTCCCTGAAGCCTACTGCAGCTGGGTCCCCGGCAGGAGCATGAAAACGAGAGCCATAGTTAACCTGCCCAGCCCGGAGTTCCTTTCCAGGGTCCTTCTTTTTCGGGGGCCCTAGAATCGACTTGGGGGTCAATGGGATCTTCATGAACTTTGTCAGGGTTGCAAGATGCAAATCACATTCGGCTCGAAGTAAGACAGCTGCAGTTCTGGCTGTTTCTCCGGTAGTTTTGGGCCTGCCACTCGAGCTACGTCTTCCGAGGTCACTAGGTTTGTGCGAAATCGAAGCCCCTCAAATTCTGAAAGCATGACCAACCTCTGGCATTGCAACTCAACCACACGGGGTTCAAAGACCCTCGTGTTAAAGCGTATCTCTAAGCGGAAGCATCCCAAACGTAGCTGTACACTTACCGATATCTTTCTCTGCCTACCCAGCATCGAAGGCAGAGAGCCTGCGCCAGAAGAAGTGTCTGTAGCCTTCGGCTTGCGTGAGCAGCATGACTTCCTGCCAGGAAGGCCATAAACTGTATCGAATGTTGTTGCAATGTAGGGGCCCTAAGCCTTGGACTCGAAGAACACAGACCCGAACATGCCGCCTCAGCTTGGCATTTGCAACAAAGTTCACAGAGGAGGCGACTTTCGTGGTTATCCGCACCCGTCAGATTTTGAAGCGGTTTTACTCTCCATGAACAGACCCCGCTGTCATGATGATGACGTTGTAATAACAACAACGCTCGCTTCGTGCTGCTAACAATCGATTACAACGCCAATGCACTTCAATGTGACGTGCCATGATGGATCCAGCTGCTTCAAGCGCTCCTCCGTTGCGAAGATAAGGACGCCGCCTGGCTGTACCAAGAAGCGAGGCTCAAGACAGGAGCTTGCCTTGTGGGCGTCGTTTCGGGTGGAGCTTTCTTTTTGCGGTGCCCGCGGGCGTGGCCGCGGGCCGCATGCCGCAAAGGAGATGTTCCCAAAACCTAAACAAAAAGAATGGTTGGGAAACCCCACACCCGAAAAAAAAGCTATTGACAAACCCCAAACCCTAAAACGAGATGCAGAAACCCTGAACAAAAGGAATGGTTGCGAAACCCCACACGTTGAAAAAAATGCTGGTTGACCCCCATCCTGCAAGGAAGCTGCTATTGACAAACACACAAACCGTAAAACGAGATGCAGAAACCCTGAACAAAAGGAATGGTTGCGAAACCCCACACCCGAACAAAAAAAC